AGGCAGTAGGCTGTGCCAGTATGGCACTGGGCACTGGGTGCAGAACTCTGGCTTTAGAGGAAGACAGATTCAGATCCAAGTCCTAGCATGTGCTGATTTGCTGTGTGTCCCTGGGCAAGATTCTTTGGATTTTTGAGCATCAGTTTCCTTCTTGGTTAGAGCAAGAATAAGGCATTTGCCTAATGAGGAATGACTTATTATAATAAGGATTATAATAGGGAACACAAAAATATGTTATACCTAAGTATTTTATTTTATTTTATTTTAAGACAGAGTCTTCACTCTGTCACCCTGGGTAAAGTGCTGTGGCATCATCATAGCTCACAGCAACCTCAAACTCCTGGACCCAAATGATCCTCCTGCCTCAGCCTCCCGAGTAGCTGGGAATACCACAGTGCCTGGCTAATTTTTTTTTTCCAGCCAGGGCTGGGTTTGAACTCACCACCTCCAGTATATGGGGCCAGCGTCCTACTCCTTTGAGCCACAGGTGCCACCATGCCTGGCTAATTTTTTTCTGTTTTACTCTTACTCTTGCTCAGGCTGGTCTCAAACTTCTGAGCTCAGCCACTCTACTCACCTCGGCCTCTCAGAGTTCTGGGATTACAGGCGTGAGCTACCATGCCTTGTGATACCTAAATACTTTAAAAGGTTCTTTCTGTTCCTCTCTCTTCCTTCCACTTTAACCATAACAGAGCACCAAGAAAGATGATGTTGGAGAGAGTTCTTACAGGCAAGTGAAAGCTTTCTATTAGGTGAATGAAGATATTTTCCCACAACTGGGTCATCAGCAAACTCACATTTAATAAATCTATAATCGGTCATATTTAATCATTTACAATCACATTAATGGAATGGATGACATTTACCAAGCACTTGCCATGTGTTAGGCACATCACTTCTGCACAGACACTCTATGAGCTAGGTGCCATCAGGGCCAGCTTCATGGCATGTGACCAGTGCAGCTGCATGGAGTCCCCTACTCAGACCAGTGCTCCATATGTGTGGTTTAGTATTCTATAGTCACCATCCTGAAATTCTTAATAATTCTGTCTTTGAAATTGTGTTTTGCGAGTGAGGGCAATAGAACAATGAAGCATGCACTCAGAGCCTTGGTATACATGAGCCTGCATCTTCTCCTCCCTATCTCCTCGCAGAGATGGGTTCTCAGCTACTCTGCCGCCTCCCCCTCCACTCAGGCAGGGCCTGGATGCAGGCACAGGAAGAGGATGAGAGGGTTTATATGCCCCTCATGAGACAGGGCCCCACTCCCCCAAAACGGTCTGCACTCTCCTTCTGGGTATCACCAGGCCCAAAGGAGCACAACATTAGAGAGTGAGTAACAATGTGACAGGTTGAGAGGGAAATCACAGAAGAAAGAAAAAAAAGGAGCCTGCATTGTCATTTGTAATGGTCCCCACAAGTTATGCAGTAGGTTCTGGGTACTATTATTACAACCATTTCACAAAAGTGGTCACTGAGGCTCAGAGAAGCTCATTAATTTGCCCAAGATCATATAGCTGCCCAGCGGCAGCATTCAAACATACACTTAGACCCTAGACAACAGAGGACAGTATAATCTAACAGAGCTTCCACCCAGGAATTAGGAGATCTGGATCCAATTTCTGACCTTGGCTCTGGGCAAATATGCCCCATTCTCTGTCTCAGTTTTTCCACCTGAACATTGTTGAGTTTTCCAAGGTGGCACAGGTGCTCTAGACTTGGCTTTGCTACTTACACAAGCTGAGATTTTGAACACAGAGAAATCCTTGCCCACCTCCTCCACAGAGCTGGCAGGAACATTCAGTGGACAAGTGCTCTCCCCGTGTGACACTTCATAGACCATGAAGCACTTTCATGCCACTCCTCCCTCAACCAACACTAAGCAGAAGGCTGAGCAAGGAATATTATGCTCCTCATTTTACAGACATGCACTTTGAATCACCAGAACTGCAAAGTGACTTCCCCAAGCTCACACTGCATTTTAGGCAAATTTTGAATAGGCTTACAGACCTCCACAGGGTCACAATATGAACATCTCCAAGGAGAACACAGGTCACAGTCTTGGGAGTCCTGGTGTGCAGGGCAGCATGGACCTGTCTCACGACAGGCACCCCTGATCTAAGGGGATTAACTTAATCGATGGCCTTGAAGGTTCCAGGTCTAAAGAAGGAGGCCAGAAAGGTGTCCAAGAGCTCCTGAGAGAAAAGAAACACCGAGACAGCTCCTTTAAAAGGTGACAACATCCTGTCTCTACAGATCATTGCAAAAAGGCGGCCAGAGGGACCAAGAGATAGAGCCAATGGAAACATCTCTTTATCCGTCACCTGCACTCCTGCAGCCTTCCCACCCATGACCATCTCATGGCCAGTCCTGGGGAGGGCCTCCACCTGCAGAGAAGGCAGGATCTGGCTGACCAGAAGTCATGCAGCTGGGGTGGTGCATTCTGGGCCCTGCCCCATGCCTATGGGTTCTTCAAACCCTGGTTACTTTGGTAAGGAGATGCCATGTATGACACAGGAGGACCACCAACCTGGGCCAGTCATCTTTCTTGCCTGGGGCTTCTGGTGAACACAGGATGTGTTTGTGAACTGGTTCCTGAAGTCAGAAGCCTCACCTGTCCATCCCCAGTCCCTCAGGGAAGTGCTAATACAGAATTGTCCAATTAAAACTTTCTGTGATGATGGAATTATACTATTTTGTTCTGTCCAATAGCCACTAGGCATATATGGGCACAGTGGTCAGTGATATTGAGGAACTAATTTAACGTTTTTATTTCATTTTCATTAAATTAAATGCAGATTTTAATTTGCCATACATAGCTAGTGGCTACAGTACTGGGCAGCACAGCTTGCAAAACAAAAATGGAAAAACTATGCTGTGATTTGAGGTTTCAAAAGCACTTTTATAATCATCTCATTGTCCTGTGAAATAGGTCTTCATTCTCCATATTTCAGAGGGGAAAACAGAAGAGAAATTAAATTGTTCCATGTTGACAGAGCTAAGAGGTATTGAAAGCATGATTAATCCCAGATGTCTCAATTTCAAAACTCTATTCATCTCTCTATGCAACACTGCTCACTTACGCAGTCATAGCACATTTATTGGGTCATTGTTATTAAGTGCATACCTCTAGGCTAAACACTTAAAAACAAATTAAACACAAGCCAAGACTTTGGGTGGGTAATCCCAGACAAAGGCAGGGTAATTCTAACAATAAGAATATGGGAGGCTCACGGCACCCTGTAGTACAGTTACAGTGCTGGCCACATGCACAGAGACTGGCGGGTTTGAACCCAGCTCAGGCCAGCTGAACAACAATGACAACTGCAACAAAAAAAATAGTGGGGCGTTGTGGCAGGTGCCTGTCATCCTGGCTACTTGGGAGGTTGAGGCAAAAGAATCTCTTAAGCCCAAGAGTTTGAAGTTGCTGTGAACTGTGATGCCACAGCACTCTACTGAGGGTGACATAGTGAGACTCTGTCTCAAAACAAAAAAGAATATGGGTATAAAAATTACTTCAAGTGACATTCTTCCACGTAGCTCAAAGAAATTTGCTTTAAATACCATTTATAACTTATGTCCCCCAATTTATATTTCAGAACTCTGTCCACAACTCCGGAGGCATACACCAAATATTCTGTTTGAATATTGAAATGGCTTCTCAAGCTTGCCCAACCTGCTCTTTCCCAGCTCAGCAAATGGCAATTCCCTTCTTCCAGCTGTTTCGCCTCAAAACCCTGGAGTCATCCATGACTTCTCTTTTTTCACAACTCTCATCTAATCTATCAGCAAAAAATTATGAGATCTATCTTCAAGAAGCATTCAGAATGCTCTCTATCTCCACCACTGCCTCCTAGTCTATCATCATGGTCATCATCAACACACCATCGCCACAGCCAGACTATAATGAGCTGCCCTCCTGTGTCCCTCACTCTCCCCAATTCTTTTTCCACTCTTAGCCAAAGTGATGTTTTTAAAAACTGAAAAGCCAGAGAATGCCTTCTGTCAGCTTTGAGCCCCCAATGTTCCCCAAAGTCCTTGCAGCGAGCCTTAAGGCCCTATAAGTTCCACCCTCTGATGCTTCTCTGACCTCATTGCCCACTGCTCAACTCCATGCTGGTCAGGTCCACCCACACCAGGTGTTCATGATCAGCTCATTCTCTCACTGCCGCTTCTAAACAAATGTCTCCTTATCGCAGAGGCATTCCTGTCACCTTATCATGTTTCCATTTGCCTCATAACACTTATCATCCCCTGACATTTAATACATACGTTTGCCTCCCACTAGAGGGTAAGCTGTAGGAATCGATTGGCAGATAAAATACAGGATGCCCAGTTAAACTTGAATTCGGAAAAAAAAATGATTTTTTAGTATGCGTATGCGCCATGGGATTTAGATATATTAAAATATTATGCACTGTTTATCTGAAATTCAAACTTTACTGGGTCATTTGATTTTTATTTGCTAAATCTGGCAACCCAATACAAAAAGCAAGGACCCCGGTTATTTAGTTCATTGCTGTATTCCCAGCGCTAGAACAGCTCCTGATATGTAGTAAGTTCTCAATAAATATTGAGGGAATGAATGTATTCATTCAGGTCATTAACCTGAAAGGTACCTGAACTTTTAATAAACAGCCTGTGAGTCAGAGGGGTGGAGCCTGTAGGCCGGGTTAGTCCTGTACGCAACTTGGGAACTGGGTGACTGATGAACATTCTACGCAAATCGATCAGCTGATTGTTTTGCCTCCTCCCGCCCCAGCTCCCAGACAAACAAAACTCGGCTCGGCTCAGGTGAGCAGGAGGTCGCCCTTCTGGGGGCGGGGCTTCTCTAACCGGCAGGTGGGACCCAGCCCTCGCCAGAGCCACGGCGCCTTTAACGCCCCGCCTCCCCGCCGCCCTTTTCGCCCCCCGACTAGACGTCACTCCGACAGACGACCAATGGGGGAGCATCTTACTGGCAGGCGGCGCCGGCGGCCGCTGCCAAAGGGGAAGTGATCTGCGGCTGAAGCGATGGCCCGGGTCTGGACCCCGCGGCCGCCGCCGCCGCTACCAGCGCGTTGGGAGCAGCCGCGGCTGGAGCCGGAGCGGGGGCCAGAGTCGCGGCTGGAGTGGGGGCGGCGCATGTGAGTTTTGCTGAGAGTTGCCCGCGCTGGAACACCTCAAACTCTAGGCGGGAGCGCTTTAGGTGGGCCGGGCCGCTGTCGCCTTCAGCACCGCGCTCCTCAGGCCCAGACAGCCAGGCTAGGGGCTGCCTGAGCTTAGGACTGGCTCTTCTCGGGACGAGCCAGGGCACAGGCCAGAAGACGGCGATCATCCCACACCCCAGCCGGCTTCCTGGCCTTTTCTCGGCGTCCACGCAGTGCCGGGCTGTCGCGGGTGGGATCCCCCTTCTGCGGTCGCCTCCCCAGCCAGAAAAGGACTAGCAGGTCCCCACGTTCTTGCTCTGCATCCCCTGCTCATCTCATTCGAGAATAAGTTTCTTTTCTCTCTCTTTTGGAAATCCTGTCCCGGAAGTACAAAACATCTATTCTGTGCCCTTCTCCAGTTCCTGGAGCACCTTTAGAAATACTGCGTATTATCAGGGCTGAGAAGCTGTCGTTCTTGACTTGGCGTTTTTTCTCCATTGGGAGTCAAAGGTTACCCCCATTTTCCAACCTCTCAACTGACACTTTATGCCTAGGGCCTTATCCATTTGGATCACCAGCTCCCTAGCCATCTCTATGTGACTCCCCCCTACCCAACTGAGTTCCAGTTTCCTTTGAGCTCCAATCTCCAGTTCCCAGTGGATCTGGTCAGTCCCACCCCTTGGTGGGAGTGACCAGGGGGCTCTGGCCCGGGATTCCCCACCCTGGAAGGCAGCTCCAAAACAGGAAGAGAATTGGGCGTCGGGTACCAACCTGGCTGCTCAGGAGTGGGCGCTCCACTCACCCCACACAAGAAGATGAAAAAGCGCAAAGAACTCAATGCGTTGATCGGCTTGGCGGGGGACAGCCGGAGAAAGAAGCCCAAGAAAGGTTCAAGCAGCCACCGCCTACTTCGCACGGAGCCTCCTGACTCAGACTCTGAGTCTACCTCCGAGGAGGAAGAGGAATTCGGTGTGGCTGGGAATCGCTCTCGCTTTATCAAGTGAGTGGTGAGGTATGGGATAGAGAAAAGGCATCTCCTTGAGTTGCCAAGGGGGCAAATTAACAGGAAGGGAAAAGGAGGTCCTTAGAAAGGAAAAAGAGAGTAAACATTGGAACACAAAGAGGGAGAAGGCAACTTCAGATCCTGAATGAAGGATAAGTAGAGATCTGTCTTTAAGTGTAGAAAGAAAAGGTCCAAATCTAAGGTGGAAGTGTGGATTTGGGGAATGTGCCAGTAACCCAGGGAGGAGTAAAGAAGCTAAGAACAGAGACAGGACAGTGAAGCTTTCTGGTCTAGACTTTTATAAAAACAATGTAGGAGAGATAGGGAGGACCTTTAGACTACAGATTACTTATATTTTGTATTCTCGATAAGTCTGAATCTTGGTGATGGGGCAGTATATTGAGGGGCATACTGTAGGAAATATGAGCCTGGAGAAAAGATGGAGAGTGGGGAACAAAAAGAAGAAACATGTTTTTCCCAAATCATTTGTAGGTGGACCAGTAGACAAATAAAGTAGTGGGATTTAAGGACATTTGGACTTGAGGCTGGGGGTGGGAAGGGCTAAAGGGAATCTTGAGATACCTTTGACCCTCTTAGGGTGCACACTAAAAAGAGCATTCTGCTAAGGATGCAGAAACAAAGGCTGGCCATCAGGTTGGGTCACTAAAAGATTGGTTGGTTGGTCTAAAATATCTTTGCCTTTTTATTTTGTTAAAGGAAGAGTGGTTTCTAATGAGCTTTGCCATATTCAATAATTTAAGGCAATCGTGGGTTTAACGTGTGATGATTTGAAATAGTTATAAGTGTTAATAATAGTTAATAGTGATAAGTGTTAATCCTGAAATAGTTGTGCTCCCCATAGGGGTGAGGAACCTGAGGCCTCAAGGCCATATGTAGCCCTCCAGATGCCCAAGTGCAGCCCCTCAACAGAATCCAAACTTTATTAAAAGGATTTGTTCTATAAAATTTGGATTCAGTCAAAAGGCCACACTCAAGGTCCCAGAAGGCCACATGTAGCCTCAGGGCCTCAGCCCCCGCCTCCCCACTTGAGGGTCAGTTGAAGTTTGGTGTGAAATCTAAACCATTTCTGTTTCCTTCCTTCTGAGCCAGTAAGCTAGAATGTGACCTCTTCAATCTACAGATCCTATTTCTTTTATTCCATTTGCAATAAAACTTACTCAAAATTTACAGAGTTTCAATAAACTGAAACAGGGTCCCCTGAAGTATGTATTTGAGAGAGAAATAGGTAAATTACAGTGCAGTGATGGAATTACAGAGAAGCATTGATCTTTATACTTTTTTAACCTGAGCTTGTCTCCAAAGACCTGTCTCCCAAATTGATGATAATGTTGGCAGTGAATTGCATTGCTATTAGATTCTTCCTCTCACCCACAGGAACTCCCTCTGTTTCACGTGACATTTGAAACCTTTGTACCCAATAGGTGAACTTTTTTTTTTTTTTCCAGTTTTTGGCCGGGGCTGGGTTTGAACCTGCCACCTCTGGCATATGAGACCAGCACCCTACTCCTTTGAGCCACAGGCGCCGCCCTAGGTGAACTCTTTATAGGTCATGTTATTTAGTCATTCTCCAACTTGCTGTTGAGATTTAAGTGCATTAGCCTACCTCTCCTGACAAATCCACTGGTTATTCACGAGAGAAGATAATTGTGTGACAACACATGTGTACTATTTCTAATAAAGCTATGCTCATAGTCACTTTTGTACTCTTGGTTGAATTTGTTCTTTTGAGCAGGGGAGACTATTTACGATGCTGCAAGATCTGTTATCCCCTCTGTGGTTTTGTCATCCTTGCTGCCTGTGTTGTAGCCTGCGTTGGGTTGGTGTGGATGCAAGTTGCTCTCAAGGAGGATTTGGATGCCCTCAAGGAAAAATTTAGAACAAGTAAGTGATCATCCTTTTCAGAGTATAATCTTGGAACTCTTTCCCAGGTTCTAAGAAAAAGTTGATCATGCTAAATGAAAGAGTTTTGCCTACTCTGGTGAAGCAGTTATACATTCCTTTCAGCATTTTTTTTTTTTTTTTGAGAGAGAGTCTTACTATGTCACCTTGAGTAGAATGCCTTGGCGTCGCAGCTCATAGCAACCTCAAATTCTTGGGCTTAAGTGATTCTCTTGCCTCAGCCTCCCGGTAGCTGGGACTACAGGCGCCAGCCACAACGCCTGGCCATTTTTTGTTATTGTTGTCATTGTTATTTTAGCAGGCCCTGGCAGGGTCCGAACCCTCCTTTCAGCATTTTTATACTCTTTCTCAGCTGTCAGCTTGAATTTGAATGTTGTAACACTGATTTGTTTTTAAACTCACAAACAAAAGACAGTGCTTACACATCACCAGGACAAGTAGTAGCTGAAAATGATGGCATTGCAAGTCAAAGCTTAGAGTGCAGAGGGGAAAATCTGAGGTCGAAGGGTCTAGAACTTAGTTCCAAGTACAAAGTGGTAGTGGCGGCACTGGGATTACTTCCATCTAAGAGGGCCAATTGGAAAAGAATGTGAGAGCATCTATTAAATGATTTTCTCTTTTTTTTTTTTTTTTTTGGAGACAGATTCTTACTTTGTCACCCTTAGTAGAGTGCCGTGGCATCATAACTCACAGCAACCTCAGGCTGTTTGGCTCAAGCAATCTTCTTGCCTCAGCCTCCTAAGTAGCTGGAACAACAGGTGCCCACCATAACACTCAGCTATTTTTTTAGAGACAAGGTCTCGCTCTTGGCTCAGGCTGATCTTGAACTTGTAAACTCAAGCAATCCACCTGCCTTGACCTCCCAGAATGCTAGGATTACAAACGTGAGCCACCGCACCCAGCCCCAAGTGATTTCCTCTTAAGGAAAATATCTAGCTAAGCACAGGAGAGCATTCGATAATAATAATAGCCAACATTTATGGAATATTTACTGTGCCAAGTCACAAAGATCATTTTAGTCCCGAAAGTGGTCCTTTGAGATCAGTATTATTTTTATTATTTTTATGCTCTTAAACAGGCTTAGAAGGATTAAGTAACTTGTCCAGTGATTAAGTATAGCAGAGCTGAGATTTGTACCTTGTCCTTGTGCCCCTTGCTGCTCATGTTCTTGTTAATAACCACTACTATACTGAGTCACTGTTCCTAGTCTCTTTGTAAGCCTATGCACATGTCTCTAAGTGCCCGCAGATCCCTTTGGTATCAAATTGATCAGTAATCTAAAAGAAATTTGTTCTAAGTTCTGGAAGACCTGATTTCCTACATATTTATCAGTTTTCAGTCTTAGAGAAAGAGCTAACAGATTTCTCTCCTGTGCTTAGCTGTGACATTATCAGCTTCAAGGGAAAAAAAACTTTAAATACTATTAAAGAGTGAAATTATTTTGCAGTTTCAGGAGACCTGCATGATTTTTTTTTTAAACTAAATTACATAATCATGAAGGACTTATAATAACCATTATGTTGCCTACCTTGAAGACTATGCAGCTGGCAGAAATATTTGTCTCATGAGTGAGTTTTAAAGTTTAAGGGACTTACTGCTGCCTGTGGTTATTCAGGTTTAAACTTAACCTAGGAATAGCTAATCTTTAGCGTGTTAACAATGTTTCTAGTGATGTTGCTCTTTTAAAATGTTAAGATGACTACCTTTAGTTTTCTCCTAAGTTTCTGATTCAGAGAATGGGAGTGGATGAGACACAATTTCAGCCAGAATCATCCTGACCTGTATGTTTTGTCAACTGGTTGAATTCAGAGCACAGTAAAAAAAAAGAATGAGATTTGGACTCTACAGTTATTTTCCCTCCTTAATCGTTGTTCTTGCAGTATTGCAAGGTATTTTTAAGGCCTGTGTTTCCTCTGTGTGTAAGTAATAATCATAACTTGGAAATGAGATTCTCAGAAATAATGTTTAGCTATTAATTGCCACTGAAGACACCTGTCTGTGCTATCATCTCTCCATAATTAGTTTGGCCTCCTAGGCTTGTACCATAGCTTGTTTTGATCACATATGGCAATTATTTATTTATATATTTCAAAACATTGCTCAGCTCTGCCCTCCAGGGATTTCTTTCTCTGACTTCTCTGCCTGTGTTTATAGGATATCCATGTAATTTATACCTTTCCTGAGCTTTTTGGGGAATTTCTTTGTTTGGAAATGCATATTTAAAATCTAGTACCTGTACGTGTAGTAGACCTGGCAATCAATCAGTCAACAGATATTTATTGAGCACTTGTTAATAGCAATCCCTGGAAATACTCTACCGCCTTCAGGAGATGCCAGGAATTATACCCTAGAATGCAAAGCCTGCTTTCGGCCACTGAGCAGCATTCCCCTAGGACCCTGACTACATTTGTCAGTCAGCTAAATGAAGCATGTTTGGAATTGTCAATCCAGCTGTTTTATTGGTTGTGATTTGCTACAATAGAAATGCTAGCACCTGCAATGTCTAAAGTAGGATTTCCTGGGGGGAGGAAAGGGTGGATAGGGCCTAGGGCATTTAGTCCATAGGCTGAACCATGGTAGACTAATTAAAAAGAGTATTTTGTGAAAACTAATATTGTGACTAAATGGGTTCAATCTTGTTAAGTTTAATCTTTCTTTGAATTATATTTCAACTTTAAAAATATACATACACATACATATATATGTAATTTTTTTTTTTGAGACAGAGTCTCCCTTCTGTTGTCCCAGGATAGAGTGCTGTGGCATCTTAGCTCACAGCAAACTCAAATTCCTGGGCGCAAGTGATCCTCTTGCCTCAGCCTCCTGAGTAACTGGGACTACAGGTGTATGGGTGTATGCCACAGCCTTTTTTTTTTTTTTTTTTTTTGAGACAGCGTCTTACTCTGTTGCCTCAGAGTACAGGATAGCTTACTGCAGCCTCAAACTCCTGGGCCCAACTAGTCCTCCTGCCTCAGCCTCCGAAGTAGCCAGGGCTATAGGAACATACCACCACACCTGGTTAATTTTTCTATTTTTTATGGAGAAGGGGGTCTTGATATTTTGCTCAGGCTGATCTTGAGCTTTTGGCCTCAAGCAGTCCTACTCCCTCAGCCTCCTAAAGTGTAGATTACAGATATGAGTCACCACACCTGGCATACTTTAAATACACAGTATTTTTAAAAGTTGGGGGGGAGGGGTTGGCCAGGTGCAGTGACTCACACCTGTAATCCTAGCACTCTGGGAGGCCGAGGCAGGAGGAGTGCTTGAGCTCAGGAGTTTGAGACCAGCCTGAACAAGAGCAAGACCCTGTCTATACTAAAAACAGAAAAATTAGCTGGGAGTTGTGGTGGGTGCTGTTAGTTCCAACCACTTGAGAGGCTGAGGCAGAGGAATCAGGCTGTGTCATGGCACTCTTGCCTGGACAAGAGAGTTAGACTTTGTCTCAAAAAAAAAAAAAAAAAAGTCAATTTTTATTTCTCATTTTTCAAGAGGACAGTAGGATTCACTGACTGAAATAAGACTACCTACTTTTCTGGCTTTAGGACCTTTTTGAGAAATTCAGAGTCTCTTGTTCTTTTGTCAGTAAATTTTCCAAGATGTGAAGCAAGGAAGAGGAATTACTAAAGTATCTGAAATAGAAAGCAAAGCTGATAGGCTTTTCGTTTTTCTTTATTGTCAAGGACTAACTTGTCCATAAGCTAAAAGCACTGGCTTAAAACTCTTAGCTCATATTCTTTTTCCAGAACTAAGTACTTCAAAAGACCTCTACTCTGAGGAAAATTCTGGTCCCAACCATTCCTCTTTGTCACTCAACTATGAAACTCTAAAGTAAATGAACAGAATTTGGAAGAGAAGGAAAGTTTTTTTTTTTTTTTTGAAACAGAGCCTCAAGCTATTCCCCTGGGTAGAGTGCTGTGGCATCACAGCTCACAGTAACCTTAACTCCTGGGCTCAATCTCCCAAGTAGCTGGGACCACAGGTGCCCGCCACAACGCCCGGCTATTTTTTGGTTGCAGCCATCATTGTTGTTTGGTGGGCCCGGGCTGGATTCGAACCCACCAGCTCAGGTGTATGTGGCTGGCGCCTTAGCCACTTGAGCCACAGGCCCTGAGCCAAGAAGGAAAGTATTAATAAATCAGACATTTTCTTTTGTGGTTAAACAGACAAAGTAATGGTTTGATCGGTTAGTACAGAACTTAAAAATGGTCTTATGCTAATGAGGCCTTTAAGGGATGTAAGTATCTGTGCCCCCTGGAATATAGTAGAAAGAGTACAGGCAGTCCTCGGGTTACAGACAAGATAGGTTCTGTAGATTTGTTCTTAAGTTGAATTTGTATATAAGTTGTAACAGGTATGTTTACAAGTATGAGCTGAATGTCAGTCAGATGTTTGTAACTTGGGGATTAACTGTAATAGCCTTCCACCCTAAGTCCAAGTTGTACATAAGTCAGATTTTTGTAACTCGGGGACTGGCTGTATGGGTCCTGGGAGCAGAAGGTTTGACTCAATTCTGGCTTGTCATTACTAGCTATAACACTTGGACAAGTCACTTATTCTTTCTGAGCTTCATTTTCTCACCCATAAAACATAAAGATGTATTTGTGCTTCCAAAGCACTTTGGGCATTCCTGTCATAGCATCAGTCACACCATATAGTCATTCTATGACCACGCCTCGTTCCCCACTAGACTGAGAGCTTCAGGGTCTTTGTATACAGTAATGCTGAACACAGGGCTGGGTATGTGATAGGCGCTCAATAACAAGTTAAAGATTAGGAAATCTTTAAATTTTCCATTTAATTTTAAAGATTAGAAAATAAAAAGAACTAAGTAAATTCTTTGGGATATTAAGCCTACTATATTTTAAATTAGTTGCTTTCCATGTTGAAGAAACATGAATTAGTAATCCCAAGTTATTCGTTTGCTACACTTCTTCCATTTTTGTAATCAAAGTACCTCTACTTGGCTTGTCTCTTTACGAGCCCCAAATCAGATAACAATTATGATCCACTCTTGGCACACGTAGTCCTCAGGATTCAGAATGTTTTCAGTGATCTTCAGCTTCATATATTTATTAGTTAATAATTAGTTAATAATTATAGCCTAGACTATTTATGTGTTTGTCTTATTTCCTCTTCTGCTTCTCCCTCGTAGTTAATGCATACAGACTCCAAGAAAGGGAGAAACTCCCTGTAATCCCCTCACGCCATTAGAACGTTTGACCCCCTGAGGATGGCAGACATTTGTAGAATGGGTTTTTCTTTACAACCTAACTGAAAATGTATAAGAAATTCAGTGTAATGCTAAGAGCTGCATTGGTTTAGACTGAGTGGTAAAATGTTCTTACTGTAAGATGGATGTATTCCCACAAACAATGTGTAAATCAAGTACTATTATTAAAGCACTTAGGAAGTCTAATGTTTATAGTGAAATCCTTTGTCAAACATTTTTGAAAAATAAATAAAAATATCTAATTTCTTTTAGTTATTCTAAATTTTCAATTGGCTTGCTGGAAATAAGGATACAACCACCACCCCTGATTTCGTTTTTAACTGTGTTTGTTTTTGATTTGTTGAGTTTTCTCTGTTTAACTTCATACTATAACATTAACTCCATTTTATACCTTACAATTATTTCACTGGACAAGCATTCGTGCTCTTCTGTGTACCTGGCACTGTGCTGGTTGCATCTCCCCATCTGGTTAGGAGTCAGGCCAGTAAACAGTTACACACAATGTGTTAAGTGCTTGGTAGTTTGGAGTGGTAAAGAAGTAGCAGTGGCCCAAGGTGGGGAGCCTGGCTGTTTGAGCTGAATCTTGCAAGAATTAACTAGGGCAAGGTGGCAGAAATGAAGAAAGGGCAAGCCAAGGGCATCTAGGCAGAAAGAATAGCATGTGCAGGGTCACTGAGGCTTAAGAGGTTAGTGTATCAGCAAGGTCAGCTTGGCTGGAAAGTAGATGGAAGAGAGATAAAGCGATGAGACATGTGGCTTGAAGGTAAGCAAAAGCCTGAGATTTATTGAATGCCGAAAATGGGTGACTTAGTAAGATTCTGTCTCAAAAATAAATAAATAAATAAAAAGATAAAAAGGTCCTCCATGCTGGTTTTTTTGTTTGTTTGTTTGTATTAAGAAAGCATATAGTAACTAATCAGACAGTCTGTGGCTTTAAAAAAAATGATGTAGCTTTTATTCTAAAGAACCAACCTTTATCAATATTTTATTTCCCATGACAAGGAAAAATGCTCTTTAAAGAAAGAAGAGAAGACACTCTTTAAGGCCTCTACTTTCAGGCTAGCAAATCTCTAAACCATTCTGGAGATATTTTTCCCTAAAGAAAGGCCAAATTTTACCCTGTACTTTACTTAGAATGTTCCTTTATCTTCTATTTCATTTTAAGCTTTTGGGTTAAGACTTACAAAAATACTATTTGCTATTTTTTGGAAAAGATTAAAAATCATAGTTCTCATAACAGTATTTGAAAGGTGATAAAAAGCCACCTTGCAGTTGAGCAATTTAAGGTCAGAAAAACAGCTTTAAGCATTTAGAAGTATAATTTACAATGTCACCTTGAGCATTAATGGAGTAGCATTTATAAATCTTCATTGACTAATCAAAAGGCTCCTTAATTGAGCTGGTCAGTACTTAACATTTATTTATCACTTGTTGTATGCCTAGCCAGCTTTGTTAACTGCTTTATAGCCATTCTTTAAATATTAACAATCCTGTGAAGTATATTTTATCATATATTACAGATGAAGAAACTGAGCTCTTAAGAATTTGAGTAATTTCAGGCCTTGCCTGTGGCTCAAAGGAGTAGGGTGCCGGCCCCATATATCGGAGGTAGTGGGTTCAAACCTGGCCTCAGCCAAAAACTGAAGAAAAAAAAAAAGAATTTGAGTAATTTCCTCAACATCATAGTAAGGCTTGGCACAGTGGCTCACAACTATAATCCTAGCACTTGGAAAGCCGAGGCAGGTGGATTGTCTAAACTCACAGGTTCGAGACCAGCCTGAGCCAGAGCGAGACCTCATCTCTAGTGGTAGGCACCTATAGTCCCAGCTACTTGGGAGGCTGAGGCAAGGGAATTGTTTGAACCCAAGAGTTTGAGGTTGCTGTGAGCTATGACACTACGGCACTCAAAGTGAGGCATCAAAGTTAGATTCTGTCTAAAAAAAAAACAACATAGTAAGTTAACAAGAGTTGAGATTCAAATCTAACTTTTTCTGCTTGTATTCTTTATGATTTTTAGTCACCTGATTTTTTTTTAAGTTGCATTGCCAGTAATGAAATAGCCCCAGTTAAAATGGAGAGTTAATATTAAAGATACACATTTACATAAATAACAGTGTAATTGATAAATATGAATTCAGTTATTAACATCTCAGAATTAGCTTTTGTTAATCTATCTTCTTTCCTATTGTATGATTTTTTTTTTTGTCTTAAGGCCAGAAGGAGTTTGATGTATATTTATAATTATTCTGATTTTGTCTTTTTAGTGGAATCTAATCAGAAAAGTTCATTCCAAGAAATCCCCAAACTTAATGAAGAACTACTCAGCAAACAAAGACAACTTGAAGAGATTGAATCTGGAGATCTGGGTTTGAATACAGTCTGGATAAACGTCACAGAAATGAATAAGCAGGTAGCAAAAGCATGATTTTATTTCTGTGTCAGCCATAAGTATTTTAGTTTGGTTTGTTGGTTTAGTATGAATTTGTAGATATAAGGAATTCACTTCAGGTTGTTTTACTTTTTGAAATGAGGTTTACGTGCTATGATCCCAACGCATTAAAGTCAGGTAAAACAGGTGATAGTTATATATTTACAAATACTTAAAATGTTACCCCTTTTTGCAAAGGAACAGAGTTCTACTAAGTATAGCAGTTTAGAGAGAGTTGGAAATTCTTGCGTCAGCTTTTCCTACAGAACAGTATGAGTTTTCTTTAAATAGAAAAGGAATGTCATCTAACCAGGAAAAATTAATCATCTATTTTTATTAACTCATGAGAGCTTACTTTGTTCAATTGGGTTTACAAACTTATAGATGCAGCCTTAGGTTGTAGCGCTTTACACGAAGTTAAAACAAATCTGGGGGCTCGGTGCCTATAGCTCAACCGGCTAAGGCGCCAGCCACATACACCTAAGGTGGCGGGTTCGAATCCCCAGCCCGGGCCAGCCAAACAACAATGACGGCTGCAACCAAAAAATAGCCGGGCGTTGTGGCGGGCGCCTGTGGTCCCAGCTACTTGGGAGGCGGAGGCAGGAGACTCGCTTGAGCCCGGGAGTTGGAGGTTGCTGTGAGCTGTAATGCCACGGCACTCTGCCCAGGGTGACAGCTTGAGGCTCTGTCTCAAAAAAAAAAAAAAAAAAACAAATCTGGGAACCATCAACAGTAGTCATTCTAGAATAGCTTATGATCAGGCTGGCTAAGTACCTTGGCCAGGCAAGTAAGCCTAGAATATGGACTTTTCCAGTTCCTAAGTTGACAAGAGCTCAGTGGGCATAGATTCCAAAAGAGGGACTTTGCCAGAGAAAAAGGGTTTATTCTAAGGATGTTGATCAAGTATCTCATATGTATAAGTTTTTAGTTTATGTTCTGACACTTAAAAAAAAAGAGAGTGCTATAGTTGCCACTGGGTAACTATAGCCCAAGTACTTAGTATTTCCAATTTAGTTAGGTATGTACATTGAAAAAGAAAACTCAAGTATACCTGCAAAGTACTTAAAAATAGGTACATCATCCTTGTTGGGGTTAAAAGAGTCATAAATCTCAGAATGAGCCAGTGGCAAGGAGAAACACTGTGATAGAAGAAAGTGCTTGCAAATATTTCAGCAGTGATTTGGGAATGGGACAGTTCAGCATTTAAGACCAAAGATCAATGGCCTGGGACACTGGCTTCCAAACTTTTGCCTAGAACCTATAGTAAAAATTGTTTTACATTGTTATCCAGTAAATACAGTACATCCATATAAGTAACTGAAATAAACATTTCTGAAACAACAGTTTACCCTTATTATAGGTAATCCCTTGTGATATTTTCTATTTCGTTATATTTCATTTTTTTAAGTATTCATGAGATAATTGATGAGTTGTGGCACCTGCTATTTACTACCTGTCATTTATCCTTGGATTCTCAGTAATTAGGGCAAAGTAAGTATTCACCCCTTTTCTTGCCAAAAGAATAGGATAAATTATGGCCTTGCATACATTCAAACAGCAAATGAGCAATTTGACCAGAAACTACATCAGATAGAAGTAGACCACACTGAAGCACTGAGAAACAATTAGCATCTCTTCTGGGGCAAACTGTGACTTCCATATGGGTATCCACTCATGGAGTGTACCGTTCTAAGGATGAGGTTGTTCTGCATGAAGAGACCAAGTCAGCTACCTTTCCTATCTCCTTCTTATAAATTGACATATGGGAAGAGTTAAAGGAGAATTGGTACATGGTGTGAGAACACCCATGGATATTTTAATGCTTTCATACATATAATAGTTTTCTGAATTCTCTTTAACTGGGAATCTGGACAGAAAAGAATCATGTATTCTTGGTCTAGCTGTTAATTTTAATGCAAGAAGCATCTAGAATGCAGATAAGTCCTCACTTATTGTCATTGATAGGCTCTTGGAAACTATGACTTTGAGTGATATGGTATATAATGAAACCAATTTTATCATAGGCCAATAGGTAGAAATAAAAGTTCCTACAACATATTTCTGGTCACAGAAACATCACCAAGCTTCTAATCTAAATAAAGACTGAAACACTTCTAACATTAAGTATCGAAATAAACATGAACTATTCATACTTTAAAACATATATTAAAAATAACTAAGGTAATTATTTACCCAGTTATTCCCACTCAGAATTGAAGGTATCTAGGGTCTATCCTGGCAGCTCAGGATGCAAGGTACAACTGAGCCTGGACCAGGACACCATTCTGTTGCAGGCTCGCTTACACACACCTACGCTTACTTAGGCTGGGACCATTTAGACATGCCAGCTAACCGAATGTGTGTAGCTTTGGAATGTGGGAGTAAATGATTATCTGGAGAAAACCTACACAGACAAGGGAAGATATGCACACTCCACACAGTCAGGAGTCAATTCCTGATTCCCAGCCAGGAATTAGTTTTTTTTCTTAATAAGGTTATAATGAAATGACATTGAATGAAACAATGTTATTCAAGGACCTGCTGTCAATAGGAAAGTTTACTTCAGTCCTAGGGCTTCATTTAGGAAACAGGGAGGGATTGAACTGAAACCCTTACCATTTTACTTTCAGTGTACCTTTCATGGTGCTAAGATTTACATATGAAGCCAACCTGACAGAGAGGAATTCTCTGCTGGCATGGGGCCCAAAGGATGTGTGGTGGTGAGGCAGAGCTTCATGTTGTTTCCAAAGTAAACCTGGCACTCTATGCCTGAGTGGTTTTCTAAAATTAATGTTGCACATTTCTAAAGGTCCGTTCAACTAAGAAGCATTTGTTCTTAACCAAAGTAGGTATAAAAATAAAATGAGTATTTAACCATGTTTCTATATCTAAAGGTAACTGTCAATAAAGATGCTTTTAGTGGCAGTTTTGGCCAGGGCTGGGTTTGAACCTGCCACCTCCAGCATATGAGGCCAACGGCCTACTCCTTTGAGCCACAGGCGCCACCCTTAGTGGCAAATTTTTTTTTTTTTTTTTGAGACAGAGCCTCAAGCCATCCCCCTGGGTAGAGTGCCGTGGCATTACAGCTCACAGCAACCTCCAACTCCCGGGCTCAAGCGAGTCTCCTGCCTCCGCCTCCCAAGTAGCTGGGACCACAGGCGCCCGCCACAACGCCCGGCTATTTTTTGGTTGCAGCCGTCATTGTTGTTTGGCGGGTCCGGGCTGGGGATTCGAACCCGCCACCTTAGGTGTACATGGCTGGCGCCTTAGCCAGTTGAGCTATAGGCGCCGAGCCGTGGCAAATTTTTAAAAGCAATTCAAAATAGTTTAAACAACCAAAAAATGTATTATATCACTTAATACATTTAAGAACTGTTCTTAGCACAATGTCAGATGAAGTTAATGCAGTCTGAAAAAAGCCATCTCATTTTTAAAAAGTTAAAATCAAATTTTACCTTGAAAAAACTTGAAGTTAGTAGTTGCAATCCCATTTACTTCTCTGTTTTATTCATGAAACCTCTGATTTTATACCCATTCCCTCTTGACCATTATGGGAAATCTTCTCCTACTTCTTTGAAGACCATTAATTTATCAGATATTCACTGAAGTGTTTTGATGGAGTTAGGCTTTGGGTTCTGTCTTAGTCCATTTAGGCTGCAATAATGAAATACCTTAGACTAGGTAACTTACAAAGAACAGAAAATTACTGCTACTGCTTTAAGGGCACTAATCCCATTCATGAGGGTAGAGTCCTTCCACCTCTTATTACTACCACATTGAAGTACAAGTTTCAACATAATAATTTTAGGAGAACACAAATAGTCAGACTCTAGTAGATGTAATACCAAAGAAGAGGTGATTGCTCCCTTAGGGTAAGATGGAAGACACAGAAAAGTAAACAATTGTAAAACAGCCTGAAAGGCAATGAGAAGTGGGTCCAAATGAGCATTGAGAGGGCATAGTTAAGTATGTATATAACCTAGATTGGAGCCAGGTGAGATTTCCAGAGATCTTGGGCTGACTCCTGAAGCAAATAGGAGTTGTCTGGGTGAATTCTGCAGAAAAAAAAAAAGGGTATTGTAGGTAAAATTAGTATAGTTGACCCTCATAATTTATGAGTCCCGTATTTCCAAATGTCCTGCTTGCTAAATTTATTTGCAACCCTAAAATGTATCCTTGTGGCACTTTTACAGTTATTTAGCAACATGTATATAGTGGAAAATATATATGTGTGGGTGTGTGTATATATATTTATATATCTACATATATACATACACACATACATAAACTATATGTATGTGTGTGTGTATGTGTGTGTGTGTATATATATATATAGTTTCTTTTTTAAAAAATAACTTTTTTTTTTATTTTTTTGCAGTTTTTGGCCAGGGCTGGGTTTGAATGCACCACCTCCGGTACATGGGGCTGGCACCCTACTCCTCTGAGCCACAGGTGCCGCCCTATAATTTCTTTTTTTAAGACGGTCTGTCAGCCTGAGTAGATGCTGTGTCCTCATAGCTAATAGCTAAACCTCAGACTCTTGGGCTCAAGTGATCCTCTTGCTTCAGCCTCCCAAGTATCTGGGTCTACAGGTATTTGCCACAATACCCAGCTAGTTTTTTCAATTTTTAGTAGAGACAGGGTCTGGCTCTTGCTCAGACGATCCACCTGTCTTGGCCTCCCAGAGTGCTATGAGCCACCACAGGTAGCCTACTGGTGAAAAATTTGAGTCACCCAGAGCACATATTTACCGTTAGTAAGGTCAAACACAGTGATTGCTGCCTTCTTGTTTGAGCTCTCCCACTGTGAACAAGTGTCTTTCTCACAGTATATTTATTGTCACATTTTTTGGCTCAGCACCTGTAGCTCAGTGACTAGAGCTCTAGCCATATACACCAGAGCTGGCAGGTTCGAATCCACCCCGGGCCCGCCAAACAACAATGACAACTATAACCGAAAAAATAGCCAGGCTTTGTGGCGGA